AGCCCTGTTTACAGTCTGCACTTTTCCTCAGAAGATTGGGACAAATTTTTTTAGTAAAAACTGAAAATTGATTCAAATTGTGTGTGTTGGCTATAAAACAAATATTGGACGAGAAAGTCCGGTGGTGAAAAGGTCAAAATCTGAATTTCCACGCAAAGAATATTAAAATTGGAACAGTAAATACAATGTATTTTGCGTAAATCAACAGCCATTGGATCAAACGGTAATATTGAAAAAATACAAGAAGAGAACAATAACAATATTTAAAGTCAGTCTAGACAACTTTTGGCTGGATTCTATGGCACTAATTAAAGCTTAATTACTAGTTTGTGCCAATAGCTGTACAACACACATGTTGCAAATATTTCCATGGCGTTGAGGGCGGACCTGTAAGGACGTGTGTTGACTGACCTCCGTAACGAACTAAACATTTCTCAAATTACATGCTTAGCTTTCGTATAATTTTGCCATCAACTTGAGCATAATCATTGCTACTATTGAAGTAAGCCATTTATGGGGATCTCATGGAACCGAAATCTTTAAAAAAAACGCAGAATTAGATCTTCTACCAGCTCGTCCAGCAGTGAGATGGCGTCCATAGTTGAAAATGTGAGTACTGAACAGCCTGAGATTACGCAACACGTTTAACAAGGACAAATTCCCCGAGCTTTCATCACCTGAACTGAAGATTTTAGCAAGTATTCCTACCAACCAAAATCGAGAATTGGCAAAACAAATTTGTGATTTGAAAGCGGAATTAAAAAATGACATATCTTCGATTAGTATGAAACTAAATTCGAACATTGACGAAGTTAATGAGTTGAAAAGTAAAATTGACGACATGCACACGAACAGGAAACTTATGGAATCCGAGATTGAAGCACTACGTGGCATGCTGGACAAAGAACGTCACAATAGAATATCAGCTCAGGTCATTCGCGGCATCAACTATCAAGTAGGCGAAGACATAGAAATGATAACACGGAAGATGTTATCTGAGGCCTTGAAATGACCGTCAGTGAGCAATATGCAGCAAAGTCCACAGCTTAAATAAATCGTTGGCTGACTGTCCACATCCCCCATTATTCGATGTATTTCCCTTAATGATAGAGATGAAATTCTCGGCCGTGGCAGTTTATTGAAAGACACAAAGTTAATTGTACACGAACACTTGCCGATACTGTTACAGCAAGCACGCAATAAACTGTTGCCGGCATACTACAGCGCTACAAAGACGATGCCCGTATTCCAATTCGAGTTCCAACAAGCGCCTTGTTTATTGTTGATGACAAAATTAGTAAACGTATTGAAGCTGTTATTTAAGAGATTTTTTGATAACAGCATTAGTATGGTTAATAACAATTTTGGTTTTAGTGTTGATTTATTATTTTCACAGCTCCCATAAAAGTTGGGCAAGTTTTGGCGGGAGTTGGAATAACACGTACTTGTACTTATTAAATGGCACATAATGTTAGTAAATAGGTTGGGTACCTATTGATTTTCACCTAGTGTTGGTGACTGCCAGGTGCAATCAAGTTGGCATAATCTATGTTTAAACTTTGTTTTGTTTATCGTGTTATAATTTCCTTATTGTCAATTACAGATATGTAATTTATACACGTTTTTGTTATTTGATTATTTTATTGCCCCAACAAGCATTACAAAACCACATTTCAGGATAATGTGGGCACATTTAATATTTGCATTATGTTATCATGATTGGTGGGTCTGATAAAATTGAAATAGTAGTGTTATATAATTGCAATGGGTTAGCGAATACTCAAAAATGGCGGAAAATATTCACATGGTTCACGAGACAAATGTAGTAGTTTATATTGTTTACAAGAAACCCACTCTGTTATAAATAATGAGCATATGTGGAAAAATGACTGGGATGGCGATATCATTTGTAACCATGGTACTAGCAATCAGCGTGGTGTAGCCATTCTTTTTAGAAAGTGTTGTTAATATGTAGTTCACAGCAGTAGTAGCGATTCAAATGGTAGGCGGATTATGGTAGACATTACTGTTGAACATTTTCATGAAAGCATGGATCGAGCAGGAAATATTACACACAGTTATCACCCAAGATCACGGGAAAGTATTTTCAAGTTATTATTAACGTGTGATATTCATAATATATGGCGCTTACGTATGTTGGGAACAGATTTCTGTAATTAACATATTTGGGGATATCGTATGATATTCTTTATCTTATATTACGTCACTGTAGTTTATAGCCTATCACGTTAATGTAACTTGAGATTGCCCGCCAGAATGTAAACTTGACATGTGTAAGTCAAGGCTAACATGAGGCAGTAGTGTTTAGACCACGCAATAAAGTAGTCGTCCTTTTCAACTCGAAGTAACTGACTTGTTATCTGATTCTGTAAAGATCCTATACCCCACATTTTTTGGTGCCGAGACCAGGATGACCGATTCAGAAGAACAAGTTATTCAGCAGACAATTACGATGGATGCACGGACTTCAAAGCTAAAAAACTTTGAACTGCGTAGTGTGCTTACCAAATTCCGTCTTAGTGACCATAGTCTCAAAATTGAAATGGGTCGTCATAAAAAAATCCCACTAAACAACAGGGTTTGTGACATGTGTAACAAAGGTCTAATTGAGGATGAAATGCATTTTCTGCTGGAATGCAACAAATATAATGAGTTGCGTGCCAAACTGTTCAATAAAGCTAAGGATATGATCCCAGCATTTGAAAATAAACCTGCAGAGAAAAAA